AACAACTCTTCTATTGCTGAGGCAAATCTTTTCGATGGATCCCTTCTGCTGTATTAACTGTTTGTCCTCCTTACTGTCTTCCACCACCTACGTCACTGTCAAAGGCAGTTAATGCTCGAATTTTTTGTAGCAGCAACGTAAACGCATGCTCAGATACCAAGTTTTTAAAAAAAAAATTGGTTTACTGTTTCTAAAGATCAACGCCCAGTGCCACGGCTGAGTCAAGCAGTGTAGGAGCGGCTGCGCCAACGACAAGGGAACGACCCGCCCCGGCAGCTTCATACCTCTCGCAGAATGTTCGGCCGAAATCGCCACCTCAGTCAGTTCATTCTCAGGTAGATATACATGTGCACGACTACTGAAATCTCAGTTCATACGAGCTAAGATTACTACTTCAATAGCAGCAAGCATACTACATTTGATGAAGGACTTTCTAGAATATCTTTTGTATCGCCACTTGGTTGACGTCTACGCACTTATCAGTATCGGAGGTATAGCGTTAGATTGTTCTAGTTGCTCCTGAGATGTGGAAAACCCATCTTCCTACGAATAATTTTAATCCGCTTCTCAAAGCTAGAACCCTAATGGCACGCAAATTCAATGGACACTGCAATTATCTTCATTGGCTTCTACAGGATAAACATATACTGAAGTCCACATTGTGCTAAATTGATAGTAGTGAACTATTTTCCCTTTTTCTGGAGTCCCATATCCGTGATGATTCATACCTTGATGAATCTTGGAAGTGTTCCCTAGATGGGAGATGTCGATATGCTGCCCTTCTTTCATGTCATTGCAACCAATGGACGTAAAATGTGCAACAAAGCGTCACTAGGTCTCGTGCACCATTTCTCGGAGGAGAGGAATTACGACTTCATGACTGGCGACATTGTTGTTATTGCTGGAATCAAGATGTATTTCTGTTATTGTGTAAGTTCAGTTTTTTCCTCACACAATGTCATTTAAATCCATTGAGAGGCTTGACACTTCGGGATTCCGACGAGCATCGAAGTAGGGGTACTTTTGCACGATCCTCCACGTCATGAGAGGATGATTCAAGTAGCGTGGATCATTGGGCAATCCAACCTTGGTCTGATCGCTAATAAGCAAGTCATTCTGTGTTCTGTTTAGATCACCCAACCACGTTCTCAGTTCGACGTCAACATGGATCTTATGTCATCTGGAATGGCCCGTTTGCGCGATATGGCAACGGCCATGAATGCAGAATTGAAGGCGCAAAACCAGCAGCTGGACCGCATGGAACCCGAGTTGTCGCGGGTTTCGGACACCATGGCGACGCAAAATCGACAGATGAAAATACTCCTTGGTGTTAAGTCGCCTCGTTAACGACGTCTAACAAACTGCTCTACCTTACGGACTGTGATTATACTCATCCGCCCTACATAAAATTACCAACATGACGACGCCTACACTTATGCTTGCTTGGAGCATTGCTTCGTTGTTAAGCAGTTTGATTTATTCATACTAATTAAGGTAACTGATGATGCCAAACAGGCATAGTTTACCACCGGGAGTGTCCGATATTTACAAGTGGAAAATTGGTCTGCTCCAAGGTGCCTATTCTCTCAATTTTTTAAGAAAACCAGTTTCTTGAGGGTGCATTATGTGAGTGTCTAATTAGGTATCGAATGTCGTCTCCTCGTCCTTTGGATGAAGGTGGATAAGGTTTACCGCAGCCAGCGCCCAGTATACCAAAAGTGAATTCAACTGTAAGGGCTGCCGATGGTGAGCACTAATTTCGGTCGCATCGCTTCGATCATGACAAGTCAGTGAAGATAATCGGAAATGATTAGTCAATGCTAACAGCAAAAAAAATTACTAGACTGACGATTATTCAAATTAGGTCTTCAAAATGGCAAGCCGAATGGGTGGGCTCAACAGTCTGAGGACAGGCAAGAGCCCAACGTATACTTAGTGTAGGCATGCAAGTGACAATGGAGACAGTTCGGACCGTTGCACAGCTCGCAGCGGAAGCGGAGATTATTTGCGTAGTGCCAAGAAATTTTACTCAGTAGTCCACTCATTTCAACACAAATAACGAATGACAATCAGTGCAGGGTATAAATACCTAAGTCACAACCGAAATGGCGACAAAACGCAACCGAAGAGGGGCGAACAACCTGATGCCCCCATGGCTTTCCTACCGAGATCGCTGACACAACGAAATCGAGCGATGAAATTTAAAAGGCACAAACGATTATTATGGAATATGATGTTACCGAATGTATCTGTAAGCGGGATGTAAACCCAATCTGACGCCGAAAGTTCAGAGGCAAAACCAATAGCAAAAATGAAGATTAAAAGATGGCTAAACTAGAAAACTGAAATTCTCATGTACAGTATCCATTTACTCATAAACGTGCTAGAAGTTGACGGGAAGGAGTAAAGGTTCAAAAGAAGTGTCACTACGTTATCTTTGACTTTCGAACCTTCTTCTGGTAAAGCATCTCCACAATTTGTGCAGGTGTCATAAGTTTCTCTGCCTCGACATCGGGGATCTCTAGACCTATACAAATTACAAGATATGTTGCCAATTTCAAAACGGCATGGCACAATTGATCGCAAGCTTCAAGGGAGCCCACTATAGCAGTTTAAAGATGCATACATTAACCAACAAGGGCAAGTCAGAAGAGATAGGAGCATCAACGCCAAAATATCTAATAGGCTTAAACTTACCAAATTCATTTTCAATCTCCATAATTACTTCGATATGATCCAAGCTATCCAAACCCAGATCATTGATAAAGTGAGAACCAAGATTCAGCTTCGAAATTTAATGCAATAGCACAAGTTACCATACCTTCTCAGCATTTATACGGTCATAAGCCTTGCAGACATTAAGCACACGCTCCTCGAATTCAGCACGGTTCACTTCGCCAGAAAATGCTCGAACAACTGATCCATTAAAAGTCTTTGGCAACGCAGCAACATTAGCTGACACGCAATACCGAAGTGGTTTGACGGAAAACGTAGGCCTAAAGTAAAGTGGCGCTCTGACTGCAGAGCGCAACGCAGCAAACCCCAACACCATATTGCAGTTAAATAAAGGCAGACCACGCTTTGTGACTATTGGTCCAAGGTGGAGGTGGTCTTACGAGTACCTTCGTAGAGTTCAAGCTTTACGTATTACTTATGTCTTGTGAGTTCAAGGTGCTAGCTGGCTGTACTGAATTAATGGCAATAAGAAACTTAATAAAACTATGAATCCGAATGATTCGCTCCTCACGCTGTTCACAACTGCAGAAAGGTTTCGACCTTCTTTTCAAAGGAAAGTTTATGCTGCTAGCAACGTAATGCTTTGCTTATGTGAATAACTGGTGTTTGGCGGTCACTTTAGGATTTGTCAGGTTCTTGTACTAGTGGACTGGCCTTTGGGCCATACTCAGGTCCATTTGCTCTGTTTTCTACAGGATACATGTATCCAGCCCCATTTACTGCCTTCTTCCACCCAGTGGGAAGGCTCAGAACGCTACACTGGCGGCAACGATCACTTTAGATTTTGTCTGACCTCCGTACACGTGGAATGGCATTTGGGCCATGCTCAGACCCCATTTTTCCTGTCACCTTCAGAATGCATGTATTCAACCTCACCTATGCCTGATTCCGACCTATGGGAAGCTTCAGGAAGCTATATAGGCAAACTCTAAAATCGTCGCCAAATCTCATGTGGTCACATGAACGATGCCTTAAAGAAGAAGACATTAAATAGAGTTAAATACATATATTTTAGGAGGAGAGATGAAGAGATAGGATTTTGGCTTGGATCGAAGCTCAACCCACGGCCTCAATGACAAGACA